ATGGAAGCTCGCGAAAACAGAGCTGCCAAAACTATTGCAATAGGGTAAAGTAAACACAGAGTGATTTGTGATAAGTCTGAGCCATTTTCTCGTACACAATTGCGACTGAACTAAAGTCCCAGAGATGATCACGTTGGTAGTTATGCTCTCTTTCGTAAAGTCATATCGAATATTTCACTGAGTGTAATCTTATCTTGGTGTCGTCTTTACTGTCATTACGTGGCCAAATTCCAAACGTTGTTAGTGGATTCTTGATACCTCGAGCGCATCACATTAGTCGGAAGCCTACACACTCTAGCCAATTCCAAAACCTATTCCACTTGATTCCTTTTTCACTAATCTGATCATCTGAATATACACAACCCGCTACTGTCTACGGAAAATCAGCGACTCACTGCTGTCAAATCGGTTTCGCTCCACATGGTAGCTTCGAGTGGCACAAGTAATTTGCACCCGCGTTCTTGTCCGAACACAAAAGTCTTGAAATGCAAACCTAACACGAAAGAAATGGTTGATTTGGTCTCAAAGTTCACAATGGCGTTGACGTTTTTCCAATAATTGATCGCATTTCCAAACAAGTGAACCGTTTCGAAGTATCTAGGATGGGTCACAACCAGCCCAGCTGTACGGATCCGGTCCACTATGTTTGCCCGACGTTTATTTGCCTTCCTTGCATCTTCACAATTGCAGTTTATCTCTAGCTGTTGTGCCCTACCTCTTTCTCGCACTGGACTTACGTTGATTAGTAGACGCTAGCAACTGGTAGCCCGTGGTCTGCGGGTGCGTTATGACGGCAACCACTAAGCGCGCTTGAGAAGGGTGTATTGTATTACTTATTAGCCTCATGTGACTACACATACCCTTCGGTTAACACCGCACAGTTAATCACTGAGTTGCCCGTCAACTAGATAGACTGAACACCCAATTAACGGGGTAGTAGAGGAAACCGACTGGTTTTAATCGAGTTCGGTGTATTTTTATTTAAGCAGACAATGAAATAACACTAACTGGAGCGCCGAATGATACTTTTCCACTTTCGAGGCCCGTTAACGGGGCTCGTTTTATTAGAACTCTCAACACCAAGGTCCTGCAATTAATGCATGCAATACCTTATGTTTTAAAGTCGGAAACTGTTGCTTGAGACTGTCTTGCACTTTGGATGACAGTGCCATGTAGATAAGCAAAGAAACAAATGGTTGAAACTGGATACTTGATTATGCTGGCTGTAGAAGTTCAACATTGCTCGGTGGTTCTACCCATCGATATTTGCGAAATCTCGCTCAAATGTTTAGGAGAACCGAGCAATAATCTCTGAAATGCATCACCATACATTTGGTCACGTACTCACTATTACTTCAATGGGACTACTTTCGCAATCGCCACCCCGCTGGTTTGGTCATGTGCTCCACATACCTGAGAGCCGACAACTTAGGCATGCATTAGTTATCCGTAATGAGTGTAGCTGAGTAAAAGCTCGACCTAGTCAGTCAATGAAATATCAAGAGAGCATGAGGAAGCTCACTGGGAAGGTGAGTCGAGTCACTTCTTGTCGTCCTCCCGAATAGGGTCCTATGGACTAGCCACATTGCTATTCGGGTACCTTATCGGATATGGAAGGGCTACGAACTCAGTGGCGCCCATAAATCCCAGTTGTTGACAATACTGCCTATTTTTTGTTATTTTACCTTGAATGGTTATTTTTAATGTTATTGTTATTAGTTTAATTTTTATTTAGTGTCCTTGGTCAAAGCAACTGAATCCACCGTACTTACTTGCTCGTTACTGACCGGTTGAAGTGAAGGGAACTACCGACTTAGGTTTCAGCTTGGAAATCTTTGGATGGCGTTTTTTACTCTCTTACTGAGATAAAGCAATGCGCACAATTAACGGGTTCCATAAAGGTAAAACAACCGTTCACTGCTTTTCCTGCATGACTCCATTCGGTAATGCGATTCTTGAATCAAGCTCAGTGAACATATTCTTAAGAGAACATTTCCAGCGGTACAGCTGTTGTGAATACCTGTTCTACTGGATGTAGCTGTAATACGATAACGAAAACAGTTACTTTACTGCCGCACTGCCCATCATACATTTGTAGCTTCATTCAGTTTTCCATCACCTACGGTACAATGAAGAAGCATCGTTATTCGTCAACTTCACTGCAGACCTTGTGTGGCACTGTTGCACTCGCAATCTCCTCATGAGCTGAAACAAATTGTCTTCTTTTGCAGTGAAATGTAGGATATTTTGTACACATCACCGACATCAGCTGGACCCTCGCAAGTGCTGCTCTCGATGATATCGGCGATGATCAGTTCTGTTAAGTTTTCCCCTGATATTAGCAGCGGGACTGCGAGCCTCCGGTACCTGTAGTTGGCAGAAGCTGCTCCCATTGCTAGGGATAGTAATATTATTTGTGTTAGATATCGAATCCCACACCTATCCAACATCCACACGCTGTATTCCATGTGTAACTAATTATGACTATCATGGATGTATGGTAAGCAATATGGATCGTGGATCACTCGACTAACTTGCACAGTAGCCACAGGAATTGGTTTACAACGAATGTCATTTGACCCCTGCCTCTTGGTTTAGTGAAGGATTGGCGACGTACAAAACGTTATACAGTGTCATGCCGATGCAGGCAGGCTAAGTAGTCCCCGTCGGGACTAGTGTGTATCATCGTAGGATGAATACCACAGCACTGTACTGAATTTTATGATGCACATCTCCTCTCTGCTCATTCTATTCTGGTCAAACCAAAGGATTCTGCGGTTTTTTATTTCCATCCGCCTCATAACCGTTACTTGAATTTCCACGGAATGTGCATTTTGTATCCAATATTAGACATTTCGGTGCGGCATTGTGATCTGCAATACTCCATTTATCACATTAGCTCGCTGACTGACTTTTTGTTCTTTAATCGATCTTGCTGTGGGGGGGGGGGGGACATCCAAGCCAGTCCACTATCTTTCATCAACGATGAGCGAATGTGCGTCAACCAAGATTGTTTGTCTCAATCGGTTCATTAAAGGGTACTGTCAACCGCACGATCCCCTATTAGCCTACCCATACTATCACAGATCACATATGCCCAGATAACGTGCAAAGCACCGGCTCAATATGAGCTCTACATAGACTGCGGGAATACTGGGAAATGAGCGTGCAATCGGGAGATATCCAGCACGCTTGCGAGTGCATCAGTTCATGACAAACCCGTTGACGATATCTCCCTCTGTCCAGATGCTATTGTGTGAGCTGAGTTCGCGTCGAATCGAATCCAGTAGGTGTCTAACAAGCGGCATCTTGAGCGAACGTATGCACATCAATCGAGTCGTTAGATATGGTCCGTCGTTTGATCACTGACGGGTGAAAACGGATGTTTTAAGGACGATTCTCCCAAAATCTTAGTATCATTGACTGTACATTTTAAGATTATGTGGTCGCTAGGTTCATTTATTTCATTTGCATACAAGTGCGTCAACACAAACATAATTTAGCTCATTTAAGTTTCTGCGTTCTTTAGTCACACTGTCCCTTACACTGTCTTAATTTCCACGACCCCTAAGCCCCCTTACATGAATGGACAGTACAATCATCACGGATTTAATTCCACTAGCTATGTATAGAGTATAGGGGTGTGGTTATCGCCTTTGGATGGTAGGTTATTGTTGATAGTGCATAGGTTACGCCATATCAGTGTAGTCAGAATTAGCGTCGAACCAATGACCGACCTGTGCCGAACGCTTATCTCGAAGTGATTAGTCAGGTATGGTCGTACTTGAGGCTAACGTTGACAAGGTGTGCCGCCTCAGCCACTGGGTGCGGCAGGCTAGTCCCTCTCCATCACACATTCTTTGTGACCCTGATTGCTACCTAGTCCTGCCTACTGAGTGATTGGCTGCGAGTCAGTAGTATCTTCAACGCACCTAGCTTGCAACTTTCAACTTTAGGATAGTTACAGGACATGCGTATATTAACGACGGAACTAGGCTGAATCTAACGATCTCATACAAAGTGTGTCTAAATCATGTTACTTCGAATTACAAACCGAGGCCATACGCCCGGCCTGGGCAGAAAACGGTTGAGAGCAAAAAGTTTCTTTTATGACATCCTCTAACCATGGTTCTAAGAGGCAGGATAAGTTACAAGACAGAACTCACGAGTAGGTTTGCAGCGTGCGGACAGCGAGCGGAACTAGATAACCGTAACGGCACTGTTAATAGCAGACTGCTGAAAATATGAGCTTAAGACGAAGCACCTGCAAATGAAGTGCATGAAAAACACTACTCGTTTAATAATGTAGCGGTCTAAAACACTGAAAGCATTTTATTAGTTTGGAAGGTGGAATTCGGTGGAGATACGAGCTTTGAACCATCAAGAGGAAATAATCCATTTGGTGCAGGAAGTCAACATTCTTCTGACGTTTATACGAATGTTGTGGAGCAGGCAACACTCGATCCTTCTGTAGATGCATGCTTCCTGTGTCTGTTCGTAGCAACTGTGACGGGCAAGTTTGGTGACTTACACCCTCAACGGATCTACATCATTGGGACCTACCACAAGACCTCTATCAACATTCATATTGTTGGACCTAGTATCCTCCCCTGTGGTTCGATACCGAATGATATAAAGCTGGGTGGGCTTAACATACCATCAAGTCAAGGCGGACATTAAGAGTAGCTGGAGTGGTCTATGTACTGATATACCACGGACGATGCGTAGTGCTGCGGGTACTGACTTATTTCGAAAACAAAGTGAACTAGGCAAACTACTCGTTAGGACTTGCTTGTTGTAGACCACAGTGCAGATATGAGCAGTTGAATACACGTTTTCGACCCGTTGAGACCTTTCGTACCATAACACACCTTGGCGATTCAATTCGCAATGGAATTTTGTATCTCACACGACGGCACTTTCTAATGTTAGTGCATACTTATTGGTTGAATTATTGACCACCTGTCCTTTTCTTTATCTCACTCTTTCATTTTCTCAAGGCATTTGTTTTACCTCCAGTTGCGTCGTGACTTGTACGTTGGTCATCTGCGGACAAATTGTACGGCAACTTGTGAACTGGCCGCTTACGCAATACAAGGTAGGTGGGTCAATGATGTGCATGCGCTTGTGGAAATGTGTGTTTATCTGAGGTGTACAAATACGAGATGCTTAGTTGTTAATGACCGATCTAATGGAGTTCGATCGTTGAGTTTGGCCCCTCCTCGGTATTTTTCCATTTCTTTTCTATGTAGTTGGAGAAGGTATCTAACTATGCCAGTGATCCCACGCTGAACTAGTGACGCATGTATCGTGCGTTGACGGATTTACTGGTAGAGTATTGCATCACGGCTTACAATCGAGCACACAACAACCTTGCGCCGAGCTTTCCTTTGGATGTTTCATGCGGCAAAAGTACAACACCTTTGTTGACGCTGTTCCCCGTACATTCGTTTGGTTTCCTGAATGGAATGAAGGTGTTCGCAATGCAAGAAACAAAGCTTTGCAACATGTTGCGATTTATCTCTTATGGAATACAAGCGGCAAAGTGTACTATTTGGCGATCTGTCGGAGTGTGTCACTGTAGGAGCTGTAAAAGCGAAAACATGTCCATGACGGATGGGCATGCTGGAATTTTGATCTCCTTGAATCAAGCAATCTAAGTACATCAAAAAGATACATGTGCTGGAGTTACACTATCACTGCGGACATGGTGGAATAGCTTAAAATAGTCTCAAAGTATTGAATTGGCATGCAATTTGCTGAGTTCACTTGAAATATGCTGCCATGAGAATTAGCTATGACTTACTCTCGGTCAAAAGGCTTATAAAACGGTCCTGTAATTCGGTTTTATGCTAAAACGAACAGTAGGAAGTCACGTCGAAGGAGTTTTTATGCGCCTATGATGGATAACCTTTTAAACGGTTTGAAAATGTAAATGCAGCGAATAGCGCTTCTGTTAGCTCCCTATCTGTAAGCTACGAGGGGCCATTCTTTAAGCTGAAGTAAAGATGGACACATGCCTCATCCTTTTTATCAGGTAGCGAAATTATACTCTTAGTGGAATCTGCTAGTGGCGTATTTGCACACTACGTAGAGTAGAAAGAGCTTTCCAGCACCATAGATGAATAACTGGCAAATGTACCGAACTGCTTAATTACAGTAGAATCAATGCTACGATCTCCGAATAAGAGATTACAAGACTTAGTGTGTCTAATCGATGGTACAATCTGGCTACAGTTGCCAAAACCGGAAATGTAAAGAGAGTGGGTGAAAGGAATATATGTAGTTTATAACGCGCGGTATGTTGAAACCATTTTTGGTCTATATGTGCTGGCTGAGTATGTCTGCGCCGAATCTTTCCAAAAAGTTTCTCTTCTCATTTTACAAAACGCTTCACAAATATGCTTGGCTCAAGACAGGCTTTTGGATAAAAATAAACTCTAAAATGCATGACGTCAGACAAGGTGGAGATACATATCGTGCATAACTAGAAGATTGATAAATTCTGCTGGAACTTGGAACTTACCACTAGGAGGAATACAAAGTACGGCGTCACTATTGTTAGTTCGACCAGAGAACTCTTTTGGCGTATGAAATGCCACAGGTAGACCAAATTGGGGCTGCGGTTCATATTAACCACTTTTCCATCAGTTCGGTTCCCGTAGTTGTCTGAATCCGAGGGTGCTTCGGTGTTGTCGACCCCCAGCTCTTCACTCCCCCCCACCATTTTTGCACTTCTTTCCACGTATTTCTGCTGTCTGCAACTTACGTATACAAGCACAGACAAATGCAGTCGTGGAGCGCAGTGCTGGGGGCGGGCAACACCCAAAATCTAGCTGTATCGCAGCGCATCACTTCTAGTAAAGAAGAATAGGGGTCCGAGCTAATCAAGGACTCACAATTGGACAGCAAATGCCTTCACGATGAGAACTATACACAGAAAGACGATCTTTCAGATGTCCAAGTTCACTAAATATGGACGATATTGGACAGCCTTTCACAAATACAGAAAATAGGAAAAGAGACTAGAAAGCTCCATGGTTTCACTCACTATTTTTTCGGGTTGCTGACAGCACTGAACTATATTGGGTACCGCCATGCATAGAAAGGATTGCTCACCGCCGATTCTCTGCTGTTAGCCAAGCTGTAGTAGCCCAGTCCTTTTCTTCCAATTTAATGATTCATCAATACCCCCATATTGTGAACAGGCAGTCTTGATTACATTGGCATCATCGGCGACAATGATATGCTGCCTTTTTCGCCTACACCAGCCGTGCACACAAGTCCAAACGCGTGACTGGGTTGCACGCCTCACTGTTTTTAGAAAGCGATGTAGCCACAATGCTCGGTCTTTCGAAGTCTGTCCACCTCGGCTCCCGCAACCAGAACCACCATTCACCTGCCTATTACAAAGTTGAAGGGCGTAGAGTTACATTTGACCGACATGGGAGATAGCGATTTCAAGCATTTTGGGGAATGTCAGTATGAGGAAATTGATCCAAGCGAACCATGAAATAAGGACCCCAGTAATCAACAATTGCCTTACAAAATAGATAGATAGAAATTAATGCATCTGACGACTTTTTGACAAAAAAGTGACACGCAAACCATGTGGCTGCTTAATTTATTTCCCAACAAATAGATGTGAAGCAGGTTAGCTGTCGCTTATTTGCTTCGGTGTAGGTTGTTGACAATGTGCGTGGCATAGGGAACAATTTGATATCTGCATTGCAATGCTAAAATACCTGAATAGCGGAAATGCTCTTTCATTATTTTACTCAGCTGTACTACTGGGCTGACGTAACCAGCGACGGTTTATTTTGATTTTACGACCTCCCTTCAATGGCAGGGTCTTACGATAATGGGACTCCTCAAAGCCGGGCAAACCGGTACGAGACCGTCATGAAAGGCGCCACCGTCCCCCAACCTCATAGGGTCTCACTGCGTAACTACAGCACACAAAGCAAGCTTTTCGTGCTTTTAGTAAATTTCACTACAGACGCATGTGCTCGGTCGTTTCGTGGTTCCGTCAAAACGACAACACCTAAACAGTAAGGTATGTATGCACATGTAACAGGACAATTGTTGGAACACTAAATAATCGAATTGCGTGAACGCCTCCGCAAGAGCGTGAGGTATCCGTTTTAACCTGTTCCATCTCCAGGAGTTTCCATATGACACTGTCCTCCAGACCTAATGCACTAAATTAACCTCAACTAAAGCTTATATCCTGCGTTATGGTTGGCGGCATGCGGTTTCGGATTTGCCTGGCATTGTAGCCAGCCACAGGACGCTTGCGTCTACAGAGGGACCATGGATGGCTTGCGCTGCACCACCCACAGCTCCAACCACACACCCCATATCCAGTGTAAACCCGAAGGAATAAGACCAGGAGGCATGTGGATGGGAGCCACGTCTCATCAACTGAGCCGGCCCACACTCCTTCACAGTCGAACACAAGCACGCTGCATTTGGGAATCAGTCTTACACAAGGCGGTGGCTGGACCGTAGTCCGCTCCACACTGAGTGCATGGAACCACCCTTTGAGCCTAGCATGACCACAAGGACTGTGCACCCCGTGCCCTCCAGCAACGACAAACTGTCTCCTAGAGCCAGTATGGGCGAGGTAGTGGGTAATAGACAGGTAGGCACCTTGTCAACATGCACATCAAGCGCACCCACATCGGGGATGTCAAACAACAGCCAATCACTTAAATGACATTATCTAATAAAAAAACCTGTCAAAGAATACGGTTATGCGGACATAACTCTACCCTAAATTAGCAAATGAAGTAAGTTGGTTAACAACGAATCCGCGATAAGGATGAAACGTTCCACAAGTTACCTAAAAATACTACAAACGCAATAAAGCTAACGAATATAAGCACAATTAGCGTAATCAACGTGGCCAGTTAATAGAAGAGTATTCAAGTAGGCAGAACAAACCAAATGAGGTGGAAGGAAATTTATTCGGCTTAAAAAACCTAGTGTAAGTTGGTTTAGCCTAACTGCGTTGAAGAAGCATCATGAATGTTACATCAGCCTCAGTCGAACAACCTCCCCGTGGTGCCAGCTGGGTGGTTCGGGTAAATCCCGTTCCAGCAAATGGTTCGGCGACAGTGTTCCAGGATGTGGTGGGGTTTCGCCTGGCAAGCGTTCTCCCTATAAAAACCACTGATATCCGTTTAACAACACTGTGACGTGGCGGATGTGACCTGCCACTAAATAAAGTCACTGCCTCTTCCCTTTTCCGGAGGCTCATTCACACATCACGAACGTCACCCGATTCGAAGCGTTCCATTGATTTCCCCCTTTTATGGCGAACCCAGCTAACAACAACACACAGAGTCACATTCACCTAATCACACAACATGGCTACTTCCAAATACAGACATAAACATACTTTTACATGTCAACAGACACATACATTCCTATGCTATTTATCAAAATATACTAATTTGTGCGATTGCCGCTTATTCATGACTGTATTACCATGATCACGCCCTTGATGGTGTGCCTCGCAATGACGAGAATAAACTATTTATTTATTTATTTATTTGTTAAATACAACAAATTCTGTGGTATAGCTATTGTACCATGGGATTCATGGCGAAATAGGAAAACAGAGTTGGAACTAGGAAAATAGGTAAATATTTTGTAGAGTTCTCTCCCCCCTAGTTTCGGGGTTTTGTTTCATAGTTTTTTTAAGAGAGGGAAAGGGAATCAGGCGACTCGCAGTGATATAAGTCCTCCAATGACGTCATAAAGCACGACTTCCATGGTCTCCAACCAGCGATATTCCGCATCCTCAGGACCCTAACTAGAAGGTTGAGATCTACCGACCGAGGCCAACTGATTCGTCAGACTTTTCATACCGCCTCTACAAGTTGTAGGCTGTCCACCACGTCGCCTCTCCCATCGCTGTCCAGCAACCGCGAACAATGCGCGACGCGAAAGACGCTGAACGGGCAGATGCAACACGTGCCTTAGCCATGGCAGTTTACGTAGTGAGACCAGCTCATCGCTTGAGTGGCTGTCGCAACCCAAGACACGCTGTTTACTCTCCACATTGGTAACCTGTTGCAACCACGGCGAAGG